ACTTGCTTCGTACATATATATATATATACATAAATTATTATAGAAAATAGATGTGACTTTTGCTTGGTTTCCTTGGTTTTATTAGTATTATTGTAGGTTTTTTCAGTCTTTTGCAATTCACTTGTTATAAGATTATAGATAAAATGATATTCAATTTTGATCTTAATTATTTATAAGCAATTACAGAAATAGTAACAACCTTACTTGATATTGTATATATTGAATTTATCAAAATACAAATTAAGACTGCTTACGATCATTTTTTTGCAGGCTCAATTTAATGTTTCCAATAGTGTTCGGTAGTTTCCAGTAATATTCCAGAATACCTGATGTTAAAATAATTCAATTATTGACGATCCTCAAGTTATTGCTCGCTTCCTTTCTGTTTTTATTGAGTTTCAGGAATATATTCCTTCAAATGTAAATGAGCTATATTTTTATTATATCAGGGTTTATAATATTGCCAAAGATGAAATCATAAAAATGATAAAGAAACAACAATAATAACTGGCCATAATAACATTATGCATTTCCTGACAGATGGAAGCACATTAGTGTCTGATCTATTCACAAAAGTGATAAGAAATCTAGCATTTAACATTATCAACTACAGAACCACATATGTCCTGCCTATATTTGAAATTATCAAACTAACTGTTACTGACAGTAACAGTATATTTCCTATAATTGTTTTAATAATAAAAACGATGTATTTTCCCAAGAAACATACATATTCATAGTAGGGAAAAAAACAATAATTCGAAACTATAAGTTTATTAATGGGTCGGGATTTCCTCAGAGTTCAAATTCAGTTCAGGTTTTGCTTTTGTCGTTCCCGATTCGAGCGATGTGATTACTTCCCAATTTTTTCTGATGATTTGAAAATTGTTAAATGGATTGACTCGATCAACAAATGTTGCATGTAGCAATAGGAGTTAAGTGTTCAGAATTGGTACATTCACAATAAATTGGTAGGTTCTCAATGTGAATGAATGTCATATAAAGATTTAATTCAAGAAATATGAGCCAATATTAAAGAATTATAAAATTAATTATCAAATCCTGAGATTCAGGAAATGTATTTGATAATTATTTCAGCTTTGTTGAGCACATAAATTTAATTGTATATTCAGGCTTTGAAAGCTATTAATTTTGCTTGTATAAGCTTTCAGTTGAGAGTTATGCTCCATTATTTGGAAACCTTCTAAATCTGCTACAGAACTTCAGCAGATATTCGAAGAAATTGTTTCATTTTAATTCCAAGGTTTTAAAACAGATAATGCTTATCCAGACAGAGTGATCTTTTATAATATTTGGGAAACATCTGATTCATCAATACTGAATCATTTTAGGGGAGTGCAAAATGAAATAATTGAATGCATATTCAAATTGCCATATTTTGAAAATATGTTAAATTTAGATATACCACGGAATTTTTCATATTTGTTATTAGTAAAATCACCTCTGCTTGAATGTCACTTCAAATCGTCGGTCATTTTATAAGATAAAAACCTAATTTTTTGACACTCCAGGAAAAGCTGAGTACAAGTAATGGTAAAAAATCTGGTGATAAAAACAGTAATGATGATTCAAATGAAGATAACTCTGAAACACAGAAAACTAGAAATGAAGACAAAAAACTATTAGAAAATGACAAAAGTAAGGAAAAAGAAAAGTCTAACAGTGAATCTGAAAACGAATCAGACTCCAAGAATTCAGGGAAAGAATCCAGTAAAACTGGGGTAAGTTTCAGTTTATGGTTAAGATATCTTATGTGAATTCAATATTTGAACAACTCTTTTAATAATAATTGTTATGTATTGGGAATGACTGGGTGAAATTATTTAATTGCAAGTAAAATATCAAGGTCCTCTATTCACTCAAAACGTTTCCAATAGACTGCGAACATACAATATAAAAACAAAGGTAGCAAAACATAAAAAACATTGGTATTTCTTACTGAAATAAATAATATGTATATACTGGGTGATTAAATACATTTTCAATAGCAGTACATCACAATA